TATATATATATATATATATATATATATATATATATATATATATATATATATATATATATATATATATATATATATATATATATATATATATATATATATATATATATATACACATTCAAAATTTGTGGCTCACCCAACAGATAAGATAAGATATAGTTACACACACACACACACACACATATATACTGTATATATATTTCTAATTTTCATGACATGATTCAGTAAGACTTTTGACTTTTTGACATACTAAACTTTAAAATATACTATTGCTACATAGATAATCTCATTTCATTGTACAAGTAACCCTTGCCTTACCACAGCAATTAGAACCAGAATTGCCATAGCCAAGCAATGCAGTTATAAAATGTTACTTAGTAATGATAGTTCCAGCAGTCCCAGTTGCCATCATTAAGCGAGGACCATATAGATCATTAAGCAAGAACCTCACATGATCATGATTTCTTACTTTCCATCAGCTTCCCCATTGACTTTATTTGTGGGAAGTGGCACAAAGTGACAGTGTAGATGCTGTACCAGCTGGAACTCTGGGGACTGGTCATAACTACCAGTCATTTAGCCCTCCCCTAACTTTGAATAGTCACTGAAGGAATGGACATACTAAAGGTTTTCTGTTAAAAAAAACCTGTGAAGTTACATTGCTTGCTTCTTGCCTGCCTGCCTGCCTTCTTCTTTCAGAAAAACTTTTCTACTGTTTTAAAGAGATAAAATCCGTCGACCTCTGTGGAGTTTTATTGTTGGCATATGTGAATCTCATTTGCCCAATATTACTAGCAGTGTCAAGGATTAAAAACCTTCATTAAAACCCATTGCCACCCAGAAACACCATCTGCTGCTCATTAACACATACATCAATTTTATGTTTAAATAAAGCATTAAAGTAGGGCTAAAGTAAAGAGGATTTCATAGATCACTAGAACTGTGGTACATATCTGTTCCAGTGGAACTCAGGGAACCAGAAAATTTTATATTCGGCTGCCAGAAGTAGATACTATATGCTATTAAACCTGCAAGAATTGAGCAGTATGGATATTGTGGGGGGGTTTTATGCTACATTTATCTAGACAAAGGAATTATTTGTAAGCCATCTGATAGCCAACCCCTTTGGGCACATTACAATAAAATCTTTTTAAAAAATAGAATATTCATTTCATGGATTTATGATACCCAGCTTCTTTCAGGGCTCTTAAGACCACCAATTCATCATTGGAAGATATTGAGGAATGCCACAAAGCCAGGAAATTAGTACCTATAGATTCCATGGTACATTATCTATTTTGGGTATCCATAAGATCCCACTGAATGAATGGATGAATGAATGAATGAATGAATGATCTTAAAATCCCATCAGCTTTCAATTCACATATATTTCTTTATTGTATACATTGGATCTTAAGGTCAATACTCTAATAACGAGAGAATAGACATTCAAAACGTGAATTATTTTACTGCCTTGGGAAGGAGAGAAGTAAAAATTCTTGTTTTTTTTTAAAAAAAAAATAGTGATATTGTATGTAAGACAGAAAGTGGATACTATACATATAAATGTAGAATTAATTGTCATCTTTTTGTTGATTGTTTACTGAAAAACAACTAACAAGACTTCACTCAAGGCATCTTAAACATCTAATATTAATTTATAAACATAGTTTAGTCATATGTTCATAGTTTTAATATATAATTTCACTGTAGTTTTCTGCAGGCATCAGATTTACTGTTCAGCATTTTGAAAATCCTGAACTGAGCGTTGAATTCAAGCTCCAAATGCAAAGGTAAGAACATACAAGTAATGAAAGAAATTTTTTTATTATGGTCTTTGACCAGCATTACAAATAGAAGAAAGAAAATATATTCCTAGAGCAAACATATTACCAAGAAATTATCATAGAATAATAGAACAATATATCTAAGTCAAAGTTTTGCATGGTTATCTGGCTTGGTAAAGATATTTGGTCCATCTTTATTTATTTGACTCTCAAATTTTGAAATAATTGGGGAAAACAAAGTAAATTTTCAATACCATATACGGAACATCATAAGAAAACATAGGCAAAACTTTCTACCTCCCTTGAACTACAAGGGCAAAGTCTGTGATGATAATGACTCTTCTGAAATTTACCCACCAATAATGCCAAAGGAAGCAGATTTAAAAGTGTATATATATATATATATATGTAGGTCTTTAGTTATTCGGGTTTTCTCCTGCGTAGAATTAGAAGTGTCTTGGCGACGTTTCGACGAAGTCACATTCATCTTCAGGCTGGTGTCTTCAGCTTCGTGCTTCTGGGAGTAGTGTGTGTGATCGCAGCTGTTTCTTCCTTTTAACTGCCAGTGGGGTTTGAGCTGATTGGGTGGGAGCTTGGCTGTGTTCTGATTGGGTGGAGGTGTGTTCTGATTGGTTAAGGAGCTTGGCTGTGCTCTGATTGGATGGGGGGCTGGCTGTGCTCT